TCATTATTGAACAATGCAAATAATAATCAAAATAATAACAATAATACAACTTCTGCATCCATGGCTTCAAATCATAGAAATTTAGAAAATTTCGTAGCTCCATCTTTAGATGCCAGTTGTTCAATAGTCAACGATGAAAATACTAGTTTAACTGATGTAGATATGGTCATTCCTTCAAGAACACCTTCAACTATAGGTTTGGATTTGGCATTAGGTAGAACTAGATCTTATTCGAATTCTCCTATCTTATCAACCTCCCCACTCTCTCCTTCCGATCTGGCAAAGAATAATGGCATCAATAATAATTACTTACGCACTACAAGATCATATTCCTATTCAAATCAAAATATCGCAAATTCACCAAACTCTCCAATTACATCCCCAGAGTTTAGTAAAGTTTTAAAATTTTATTCATATGCTGATGTTTTAACTGACGAATTGTCAGATAATACATTACCAATAACTCCACCAATTTCTTCAACTTCACCAATTCCACTAAGAAATAACAATGCCCAATCTCAACAAAGAAATTTGGCTCATCCATCAGTTATTAGAAGAGATTCAGCACCACCAAATTTCCAACATCAATTAAAGAAACATCCAAATTCAATTTTGACACGCCCTACAACACAATCTCCTCCTTTATCCAATAACAAATCCATTAACCAAACTTTGATGTCACCTCCAAGAGAACTAACTAGCAAGAAGCATAGTTTCGTTCCAGTTAAATCTCAAACTAAATTTGAATTTGGTGATGTTGAAAACTTGTCTGATGACGATTGAGTTTTAGCATTTAATCAGGATTAATTACTAAGAGCCGATTATCATATCATCAGTTATACTTAACTTTATTTGGTCTTTAAACACATCTTAATTCTTTATTGTATATAGAATTTTTCAGGTAACAATTAATTAATTATATAGATTTATAAATACACAAGGGTTTTAAAAAATACACTTTAACGGTTAATCTCTTTTATTCATGTATATCCCATTGTATTCATCTATTATTTAACGATGCAGCATTATCATGTTAACATTTTCCATCAATGAGAGTGTGTCTTTTACTTTCTAATCCCTAAACAATCAATCTATAAATGCATAGATGTGCTTATTTTATCTTTTTGAGGTATTTCATCATTATTGCATTCCATCATTACTGTAACCTTCGTCAAATCTTCTCTTCTTATGGCTATCTCTTCCGCTCTTATCATCAAAATCATTACTTGTACTATTGAAACCATCTGAGTTATTGTTTATCAATTCTTCAATAGTTCTATAATCGGGTTCAAAATTATTAAAGACATGTTCTTCAATTTCCACTAAATCATCTAGATTTGAGACATCTTTTGCTTCTTCATCCGCCATTTCTGCATGTGCATATCGGTCTTCACTCAGAACAGCTTTTAATTTTGCTATCGTATCCTCTTCTAGTCTAGTAGGAAATTTAATATCAAATTTAACATATAAATTACCTTTCGAAATATTGATAATACTTACATCTGGATCACGTTTCTCCTCCTTTGGCATACCAAGGTTGGCAACAGTTTTAATCACACCAGGTGATAAAATTTCCCCAGGTATAATATCAATTTTAATTAAATTCCCACTCGGATGATTACTAATGAAAATAGTACCACCACATAATGCTTTCGATAAATTTACAGAAAAGTTATCCAATAACAGATCACAATCATTAATTACTTCAAAATTATTATCCTTCAACTGATTAATTGTTAATACAATATCACCTGCAATTACTTTTTGTTTGCCAAAACTAGTGTTCACCACTTCATCTGCTTCTCCAGGTAATATTATAACTTGACCATTGACCATACCTGGTTGAATTTCTACATCGAATATCTTGCGCTCTTCAACATAACCATTACCACTGCATGATTGACAAGTATCACTTCTCTTTACAAACATACCACTACCTTGGCAATCGGGACAAGATTGAGAAAAGGTTTGAATCATCGGTCCCATTCTCCTTGTTTGTGTCAAGGAACCCAATCCATTACATGTAAAACACTTAGATTTTTTCATGCTACCCTGTCCCATACATAGTACACATAATCTTGTTCTGTCAAGTCGCAGTTTTGTCTTTTTACCATAATATAAATCTTTCAAAGAACAACGCAGCGTGTGTTTAATATCTGGACCTCTTTCCAATTCCACACTTGCAGTATTTTCAAATGTATTATTAAAGTTACTAAAATTTGGTTTCATATTACCAAATGGATTAAACCTTGAACTATTTTTATTTGAATTACCAAAAAATTGTGCGAACAAATCACCTGCAGAAGCAGCCAAATCTGAACCAAATAGTGGATTAACATTACCAAAGGGATCTGAAGGATACATCCCTTGTCTTTGTTGCATAAACTCACTTTTCCTCTTTCTCTCTTTCATCTGTTCTATAACACTTTCATCAACTGTACCATATTGGTCATATAGCTTTCTTTTCTCCACATCTATCAAAACTTCATAAGCTTCGCTAATTTTTTGAAACATCACCTTTGACTCCTCAGAATGGTTATTCTTATCGGGATGATACTTTAAAGCTAAAACCCTATAGGCTTTCTTTATATCCTTTGCGTCAGCATTGCTTGAAATATTCAATATGTCATATAACTCGGATGACATCACCATCCCAAAATTTTAAATTTCTTTACAAAATTCAATCAGAAAATATCCTCAAATCAGCCAATAAATAAATAATCCTTTAAAGAATCTTAACCAAAACACGTTGACCTCCAAATTTCCACTAATTATTAATCAAAAACTCTTAGAAGGATACCAAAACTTTTTAAAGTATGCACAGTAAGAAAACGGAACCTCAAAATATATCAAAAAAATTGGGAAATTAACAATAAAAACACCTTAAACTCCAAGGATCAACATCCACTGGGCTCTTGATATCTTCCTTAAGCTTCAAATTATACAAACTTTATTAATCAAAAACTTCATCATCTCTTTTATATGATTCTATCCATCATCACTTGTTCTTAAATTCGAAAAAACTCGATATCATTATGTACGCACATTATACCTGGATATCTGAGAGAATGGAAAAGAAAGGTCAAACAATCAAGATGATTTAAATCGATGAAGGTTAAAAGAATTTGTTAACATGATCTTTAAGAGCTGTCGGTTGCTTTAAAATCGGGAATCACTTACTGTTGAAGGTATACTAGCTGGTGTTATTAAGTTAAGGTGTTGTGACAGTGTTTTGTTTATACTTTTCTGTCTTTCCCTCGTTTGAATTGGAACTTTTTGAGAGATATATGGATAAGTTAATTAGTCATTGACTCGGTAGTTAAAAAGAAGAGGAATTGAAAACATTCAATAAAGATATAGCTATGCCAGAAACTAATACTGTCGAATTATTATCATTAGGAAGTCCTATTATTCCTATTAATTATAAATTGGATTTGGAGATTGATCCAGCCAAAGCTAATTTTAAAGGTGAATGTGTGGTTACTTTTAATTCTAGAGAAAATTTATTCAATTCATTTAAATTACATGCCAAAGATTTGGTTATCGCTTCTGCCACCATTGGTGATTATCAGTTGAAAGTTAAATATGAAAAGGAGCAAGAAATTGCCATTTTCAGTCATGATACTCCTATCGATGTCTCTAACCATAATGAAATTTTGATAAAATATGTTGGTAAGATCAATGGTATTAAGACTCATCAGGATAAAACTGTTGGTGTTTTCAAGACAAATTTTATGGATGATAAAACTGGCTCTTCAGATAATGTAGTTGTAGCTACTCATTGTCAGCCTTGTTTTGCAAGATACATATTTCCTTGTATCGATGAACCTTCAAATAAGTCATCATTTAAATTGACCTTGAGAACACTTAAGAAGTTACAAGTGATAGGTAATACTAAAATCGAATCAATTGCGAATGATTCACTGACTGATTTCCAGGTTGTTAGTTTCACAAAAACTGTCTTAATGACAACTTCATTATTTGGGTTTGTAATTGGTGATTTAGATTTTATTAAAACAGAAGTCAAAATGCCAATTTCTGGTACAGATTTGCCAATTGCCGTTTATGCTCCCAACAACGTAGAATTAGCAACATTTACTTTAAACACCATCCAAAAGTATCTACCTCTATTAGAATCTTACTTTAATAAATGTTATCCTTTAGATAAGTTGGATTTTGCATTATTGCCATTTTTAAATGATATGGCAATGGAAAATTTTGGTTTGGTAACTATTCTTCAGGACCATCTCTTATTACCACCAAAGGCCTTGGGTAATAAATTTATAAGACAACAGAGTCAACAATTAATTGTCCATGAATTGGTACATCAATGGATGGGTAATTATATAACATTTGATTCTTGGGAGCATTTATGGTTTAATGAATCATTTGCTACTTGGTTAGCTTGCCATTTAATTGATCAAGAAGGAGATACCGAGAATTATTGGTCAAGTTTTGAATATTTGAAGCAATTGGAGACGACCATGGAGAGTGATATTGATGTTAAAGCAGCTAAGAGTATCTCTGGATCTGCTAAGAAAATCACAACTGTTAACCAAACAAGTGATGCATTTGATGCTTATACTTATACTAAGGGTATTACAATCCTAAGAATGATTCAAAAAACAGTCGGTGATGAAATTCTTAAAGAATCTCTACAAAAAATAATTGGCGATGAGGAAAGATTCCACGCAGTTAGTTGTAAACCAATCGATATTTGGACTGAAATCAGTAAAATGAATAAATCTGAGAACATTGTCAATTTCTTCAGTAGTTGGACAAGATTGCAAGGGTTCCCACTTATCACGGTTACCACTGACCAAAATTCTAATACCAAATTGACCCAACATAGATTCGTTATTAAAGGCGAAACTGATGATGAAGATATTCCATATCACGTCCCATTATTTATTTTAAAACGTGATGGTACAATTGATAATTCCAACGTCTTGATGACAGATAGAAGTATAGAATTAAAAGAAGCAATTAGCTTGATCAATTCAGGTCACCAAGGTTACTACAGAGTTTCATATGAAAGTGATGAACATTATGTTGAAATTAGAAGACTAATTGAAGAAGATAAACTTGAAGTAGTTGAAGTTTATAAAATTATGGAGGACTTATGTTACGTGATGAACAATTATGGTAAGGAAGTTCATGAATCTGGGTTATTGACCTTGATGGATTGTATTATTGACAGAGAGGATTATTGGAGTGCCGTTTCCATTGGATTACAAATGTTGTCGCAAAGAAAATTAACTGATAATCTTAAATATAAAAAAATGTTGGATAAATTAGTAAGTAAAATGAACTGGAATAGCAAGCCAAGTGAATTGGATGAAGATAAAGTATCAGTAATGGCGCAACTAATGTATATGTATCGTGATGATAGTAAGATGTATGGGATTGCGGAACAATATTGCAAGAAGTTATTACAAGGACCTTCTAATTCAATTCACAACGATATGGTTGGTAGTGTTATTAGCGTAATATCCACCAAGATGAGTATGAAACAGTACAAACAAATTATTTCATTAACAAGTAACAATGCAGGTATTATGTCCCATATTTATCTGGGAGAACCACAGAGTGTTGTTACACAACTGATTGAAAATATTGGATATTCAAGAAACTATGAAATTGTGAAAAAAATCTTACATTATGTCAATGACCATATCTCAACCATTGCACACATAGACAAGATGTTACTTGGAGTATGTAACAACCATGGAGAAATCGTTAAGGACAAAGAAACTGACGTTCCAATCCACGAAATGTTGTGGGAGTGGTTCACCACCCAGAATGATAATTGGAACAATAAATGGAACAAAACCAAAAACGAATATTTGCAATCCGGGATAACTAATGTAAGCGTAATGGTACTACAAAGTGTATTACCACACTCGGGATCCCAGGTGTCACAATACGTTAGTGAAAGACCAAATGATACATTTTTACAGAATGCATATAAAATCGTTTCTAAATCATCAATTTGATTGAACAGGGACCAATATTTCATACTAGAAAGGTAAAAAAGGAAAGTATAATACACAACAAGAACAATTGACAATTAACTTTTTACATTTAAACTTTGTACTCAGATATTTGCATTATCGTATAGATGTGAGTCGTACCTTGGCCTTTACTTCGGTCCTCCCCCACCCAATCCGCTGTTAATAGTAACTAAATAGACTTTGATATAAATCATTTTATAGAGAGATAAGTTAAAAGATAAGTTATGAGATACGTTAATGGATGCGTTAAAGAGATAAGGTAATAGTTAACAGTCAGTTAACAGTTGTATAAATCTCCCCCCAAAGTAGAGTCACGTGCGCACCCCAGTTATAAACAAAAACAGGATATTGTTACGTACCCAATGACATCTGCTTTGATTTGTTGTCCATATTTTTTAGCCAAAGTTGGTTCAACAAATTCGATCGATCTGATTTAAAATTTGTATATAAAGGAGAGGGAAAGATTTTGTGAAATTGTTTTTGGTGCAGTTTATGAAAAAGGGTAGTGATTAACTTCGTTTTCTGGTTTAATACTTGGATTATAAGGTTGATATTGGATATATTTACTGAGGAGTTTTGAATCAGTGGTGTGATATTTTGGAAAATTAGTGAGCAATGGAAAAAGTTAGAGAAAAGTTGAACAATTTGAAATTAGAGGCTGAATCTTGGCAAGAAAAGTACGAAGAGTTGAAGGAACAGTACAAGCAATTGGAACAAGATAACACTGATAAAGAAAATGAAATCAAGTCATTGAGTACTAAGAACCAACAATTGGAAGAAGACGTGGAGAATTTGGAGACCAAATTGACAGATTCTAAACAAATTGCTGAAGATTCTCACAATTTAAGATCAAATAACGAAAACTTTACAAAGAAAAACCAACAATTGGAAGAAGAATTAGAAGAAACTGATTTGAAATTGAAGGAAACTATTGAAAAGTTAAGAGAATCTGATTTGAAGTCTGAAACTTTAGAAAGAAAAGTTAATGCTTTGGAAGATGAAAGAAACGACTGGGAGAAAAAATATGAAGATTTATCTGTTCAATACGAAACCGCAAAGAAAGAATTGGATGAAATTGCTGCTTCTTTAGAAAACTTGTAATTGTTTACATAAAACTAGAACTTTTGTATTCTCACTGTGTGTGAATTAATTTTTGGTGTTATTTTTATGTTTATTATTATATACATATACACATATATATATTGGCACAAGTTGATATCCCCTTATATATAATTAATATAGGTGACTGACTACTTAAATTAAACTAACTACCCCCCACCCCTACCCTATCCACTTCTAAACATCCATATATATATACACATATATACTTCCTTGAAGACAGCCTTCTCAATCCTCCATTGGCAGTTCCCAGATCTGACATCTTAATTCAAATGGGGTCCTTGTTTGATTGCAAGTATGCACTTCGAGGCGTATCAACCAATTGATCCATATATTGATCTATATTAATATACATATATAAATTTAACGTCTCGGCCAAGAAACGAGCGTACAAACTGCCACTCGACCAAGATATATAAGATCAATTCAAAGTGGATAAGTTTTACAAGATATACAGTAAATTATATAAAATAAAACAAAGCATAAATAATAGACACATCCGAGTCTTATTTCAATGTCCCATCATAATACATCTCTTGGAATATACTGTCTCTCTTTATCTTTCTCTTTATCCCCCCATGCATCTCTACCAAAACCTTGATTTAAGCTATCCGAAAACTTTTCAATTGATATTTTAAGTAGTTTTACAAACAGTTTAAGTTAAAAGGGTCATTGTAAGATTGTTGGTAGTCCACAAACTAAGTGTGTAACAGATAAGTGTAACGATGGTTGTCCATATCCTTGGGAAAGGTTTTAAAGGTAAAGAGGTGGTTAGAATAGCTTTGGCCTCGAAGTTCTATGGTGTTGGTTTGGAGACAGCTCAAAAAATTTGTTCAAAACTTGGATTCTATCCATGGATGAGAATGCATCAGTTGACAGAGCCTCAGATCTTGGGTATCACCAGTGAGTTGTCGAACATGACCATTGAAGGTAATGCCAGAGCTGTTGTTAAGAATAATATTGCATTAAAGAGAAGGATTGGTTCTTATCAAGGTTTGAGACATGCAATGAATCTACCTGTGAGAGGTCAAAATACTAGAAACAATGCACATACAGCAAGAAGATTAAACAGACTAGACAGAGCTGGTTGATGCATTCCTTCTTCAACTTCATTCTATCGTGTAAATATACAATTAAAACTATTATTAATTATTTATAAATTCTAATTTATTCAATGAAATCAATCAATCAATCATCAGCAGAGATTTGTCTTTGTATTTATTTTATTTAAACGTTCCGTTCAGAAAATACCTGTTTCCTATATATATATATATATATGTCATTGATAGCACCATTGTTAATCAATGTATATGTATACCCAGTGACATTGAGCTTTAGATATCTCTTTATTTATAGGTACAGTATGTATCTCTCTCTCTCTTTCTCTTAGAAGAAAACGTCCCGTAATCGATCAACGGTTACCCGGATATTAAAAATAATTGAACTACACGTGACATAAATTTAAAAATAAATGCTGTGCCCCATAATATTTGAAAAATGGAAATATCTAGGTAAAGATATATATAGATATAGAAGATAGTAATGAAAACAATTGGATATCTCGTCACATAAACTACCATTAACAAGTGTCAATTATTCTATACCTATTTCAGCTTTTAGATTGATGTGTTTAATGTATAGGACTCTCTCTCTCTCTCTCTCTCTCATTGTAACCACTACAGCCAGACACTCGAATATCAATCGATATGCTGTCGTCTTGGCTCAAATTCTCCTTAACTATGTCGTACCCAATGATAGAGACCCCTTTCTCTAAATTGAATATCAACTTCGAAACCAGTTTGATCAAGCTCAAGATATTTTTAACAAGTAGGATAACTAAGCCTTAAGTAAGTGTTTAAAAGTTTGTATAGTATAAATTGTAATTGATCTAGAATGACAATTTGGTCAGTGAAGTTATTGGATTGTTGTGGGTGATATATCTGAGGTTGCTTTTTGTCTATCTGTGAAAGATTTTTGATTCTCTTTTAGATTGCGATACATCTTAATAGGCATATTGCAAAAACTTTCAGCTAGATCTGGATCCAAGTTATTTATTATATACAAAGGGACTTTCTCTTGGCAATAGTATTAGTTGGTTGCACTAATTCAATTTCGGGTTGTAAGGTCTGGAAATCTTTACTATCTGAGTTTTTCATTGATTATTTGATTCTTCACTTCCAACAATATCCACCACATACACATACACATACACATATTTGTATATATCTCTAGAATAGGTCAAGAATGCCAAAATTGGAACAATTTGAAATTAAAAAATATTGGCAAATATTCTCAGGTTTGAAACCTGTTGAAAATAAAGTTAACCATGACCAGGTGTTACCCATCCTTTACAACTCTAAGTTGGATTCATCAATTCTTAATAAAATATGGTTTTTAGCCGATATAGATGATGATGACAACCTGGATTTCGAAGAATTCGTTATTTGTATGAGATTGATCTTTGATATGGTTAATAAAAATATAGATAAAGTACCAGATGAGTTACCAGATTGGTTAATACCTGGCTCAAAGGCAAAATTAGTTAAAGAGAGAAAGCAAAGAAAACAAATTGAAAACGCAGATATTCCAAAAGTAGAAACACCAAAAATTGATTGGTACATTTCTCCTGAGGATAAAAAATCTTATGAAAATATACTGTCTGGTATACAAACAGCCACAGATGGTAGTTATTCATATTCATCCACAACTCTAGTGTTAAAATCTAAATTCTTTAATATCGGCACATCTGATTTTGAAAAAACTTGGAAATTAGTAAATCCAAAAAATTTTGCATCCATTGATAAAGATCCAACTTTATATTTTATCCATATCTTAAGGCAGCGTAACGATTTGGGTTGTAACATTCCTTCTGAATTACCTAAGGCATTATTGGATTCCTTCAGCAAAGAAAGGGTAACATATGATTTAAATTCTAATCAAAGCCAAGTAACAAGATCATCAAATGTTCGTTCAAATACAAATATGAGCCAACATACGATTGAGGCAATAAGAATGAATGAAATTCCAAGAGGTAACCCAAATGATGCAGCTTCTTTGGAGATTGAATTAAATTCTTTGGATGCTGAATTAAACCGTATAAGAGATGAAATAACAAGACAAGAAGATACAATTTTAATCAGAGAACAATTTGAAGGTTTGTTGAGTTACAAAGAACAGCAATATCAAAAGAGCAAACAATCGAGCATGTCACCAGTTAAATTAAATGCAAAATCTATTTCAGATGATTTAAGTAATATTGAACAACAAGTTGGAGTACTTGAAAATTATTTAGCAGACAAAAAAGTTGAGCTCCAACAGTTAGAGTCACAAATTCAATCAGTAAATAAATAGAATTGGTTTTTCTGGTTGTATACTACTATATAAATAATAGTTAATTTTAACGTAAATTTAAATGAACTAATTAATAAATGAAATTAACAGCACAATTAAGGAAATACCTTAAAATTCTATACCAGATGTAATGATCGATTCATAAAGAAATTCCATTATTATTATGATTATTATAAAACATTTAATAAAGGTACTTTTACATTCAAATTTCGTAACATTTATTGATTATATCGTATTTACAAACTTAATACTAAAACTAAGAGATTGATTTTGCGCAAAATTCAACAGCTTCATTAACTAATGTAGCATCATTCTCAGGAATTAATTGCATAGTAGCTAATTCACTTACGATCTTAGACACATCATTCAAAAACTTATAAGAATTATTAAATTGTTCTTCTAAATTAGGAACAGATTTCGTTGTATTAAACTCGGCTGCAATAAATGAAAAAGCATCTGCCTTTTCTTTACCATTATGTAAATACTTCTGCAAGTAAAATTCCCACATCATTGCCATAATGGTATTTGGAAGGCCAGCTTTAAATGGCATTTTAGAAACAACCAGCTCTTTCCACTGAGCATCATCTAAAGTTAATCTATCAAATTCACCAGAAGTTAGGGATGAAACAATAGTGGCTTCATATAGTTCTTTCAAGTTTTCCTTAACAAAGTTAAAATGTTCCCTAATAATCAAAGCTTGTTTTTCTATAGGACCATGATAATTATATGGCGCTTGTTCAATTTGGTATAAAGTTAATAAACGACTTAAAACATTAATAAATTTATATTCCTTTGGATAAGAGTTCAAAGTGGCTTGAGATAATGCAGATATTGTTGATGGTTGTAATTCTTGAGATAACTTCAAAACATCAAACTTTAAGAACATTAATAATATGAAATGTTTTTCGTAGAATTTTGGATCTAAATCCAATGTATTTAATTTTAATAATGCAGATCCCCATTTTGTTGGAATCAGTTTTTTGGCCTCTAAATTGAATTCGAAAAATTCTAACAAAACTAACAATCTTAAAAAGTTAGTAGATAATAAATCGAACGTTGTATACAATTTCTTTTCGTTTGGTACTGATGGAATAAATAATGGTCCATTGGAGATAAAATCTGAACTTAAATCTTTTGACTTGGATAATATATCAACGAATGATGCTATGGAAAACTTACTTTCTGAGTTATCAGTTTTGACTACTAGACAACTTATTTTTTCAAAAGTAGATGGTGTAGATTTGTTAACCAAAGTTAT